TGATCCACATAAACTGGACAAGACCAAGCCTCTCCAACCCTGACTCTGCAGCAAAAGTGCCAATTCCCATGTTGTGCCAGATACAGACCATTTTGTCTGTAAACTAGGTGGCAAATTCATCACAGCAGACTGCAGGAGACTCAGTTTCTGGGCACAGACAACCAAGATTAACCAGGCCATTCATCACTTTTAAGGGCTCTGCCATCTGGCATTTTGCCAATTCAATATCAGTGGAGAAAAGAAGCTTCTTTGTTACTTACTGCCACACCTTGGTCTTGTAAGAACAATCTATGTCACAATCAGTCAGATTTGACACAGGTCAAGAGTCATGGCACTTCAGCTGCTCTCCTCCCCACCCGCCCACCCCCACTTCAGCTCCCCCTGGTACCTGGGAGATCTGTACTGCTGCCATGATGGGAGTAGACTCCTGAGTGCCATTGTGTATAGGTCAGTATACTATTCCACAAATTGACCAGGCCATCAAGGTGAGCATGAATATCCCCCAGAGTGTTCTGGAATCCCACTGACTCCCATGAGTCTTGGGGGACAGACCAGCCTAGCCAGGCCACTTCCCCAAATTGTGTCAGAAAAATCAAGGGCTGCAACTGAACTTGAGAAATACTAAGAATGTAATGATGTACCAACTGGCAAGATGGTATAAGTGAAAAGAAGAGCCTTCTTTCATGCCTTTAAATCTTTGAATGTTTGTTCCATGCCAGTGTGATCTACTTTCTGGGCACATCTCTTGGTCATGAGCTGACATAGGAAAAAAACTAAATTAGAACAAATTTTAATCAACTTGAAAAAAATTACCAGATTATTATAAAATCTTTCAAAGGCTTGGTGATTATGATTTTCTGACACTGAAGGTAAAACACAACAGTTTTCTTTATTGAGACTTAACAAAAAGGCTAAAACTACTGCTGATCATTGGTAGCTTGAATCTGCCCTGGAGCTTGAGTCCTGAGGCAGTCCTGATCTACAGTCAGCTGGCAGAGAACATCCCAAGGTTAGAGCCCGAGGGTGGTCCCTGCCAGCTGATGATAAACTGATCAGGACAGCGCTGGGGTTTGAGTTCCATAGCTGTTTCGATCCCCTGTGAGCTGGAAGGAACTGCCCTGGGAGTCGAGCCCAAGAGCTGTCCCTGCCAGCCAACAACTGGCTGACTGGGATGGCCCCGGGGTTTGAGCCCCAGGCCCTGTGTTCTAAGGCAGCTCTGATCCGACATCAGCTGGCAGGAACTTCCCTGAGATTTGAGCCTTGAATTGGTCTCTGCCAGCAAAGAATCTGCTGACAGCTCCAGACTTCAAACTCCAGGGCCACTCCCATCTACTGCTGGTCAGCAGGGATGGCTCCAGGGCTTGAGTCCCAGGGTCATCCCTCCTAGCTGACATTCAGCTGATCGGAAACCACTCTGGGGCTCAAGCCTTGGGTAAGTCCCTGCATGGCATGCCACATATACAAGTTATGGTGCCATACAAATCAACCACAAAGATACTATATATTTTTGAGTAATATCTTTGTGGCTGGTTTGTGATTTCTCTGGTGCCATAAATTCTATGAATGCGTGACCAGTTGCTATTTCTGGCATGATTAAAACCTTATTTGCACCAGAAACATAACACGTGCCAGATTTTGAATACTGGAGTTTTGGAGGTGAAGAAAGGAAGCCTAAGATCCTTTTCTGCCTCTCAATTTTGGGGGAAATGGGCTAAACTGGTCCCTATTACAAGTTAATATTTCCAAAGGTCAGTCTATCCAACACTCCCTCTTTGCAACTATACTCTGACACTGGAGAAAGGGTATGGATGGCATAGAGTCAACAGTACTAATGATACTGTTCTTCATGTTTTATTAGTGCCTTTTCCCATGCCCCATCCTGATTTTTGCCAAGCCAACCCACTCTGAATTTAAGCTGCATGCAAAACAAAATAAACATTTGGAGGGAAAACCCTCCTTAAAGCCATTCCTTCTGGCTGTCACCTCAGTGCATACACTCTAGTACACGAGCTGGGCCTAAAGATTTAAGCCAATATTTTCAAAACTGTTAAGTATGAGTAATTGATTTTCAAGTTTCCAGCTGTAGCCCATTTAAAACAGTATAGGACACCTGCCCTCTAAATATCAGTTATCTTTAAGGTGGCTCATGTAGGTACCCAAATGTTGAATGTCCAAAATTGCCAGTCGGTTTGTGAAATTAGACAGTAGCTCTTAAAATCCTTCTAAGAATAAAAGGTAACAAACATGAAAGATAGATCCTCTGTAAAATGAATGGTCAGATGTTGTTTATTTCAAGGAATGATCTTTTTGGCTCTGGTACATATTAAATGCACAAAGATGAAATTTATATCATCTTTTTATAGAGCTTAGAATTAAAGGACACAAAACACACTATTGGCTTATGTTCATTATTGTTTCTTCTCTTAATTTGCTCTTTTTTTATAAAGCAGACAGCAATAGCAAAAACTGCTATCGTACAACAGGTCTGCAGAAAAGATTTCCAGACTACTGTGGAAGTAGTTCTTTGAGCATTATCTTTATTTTGTGAGCTACAGTGGTCCCATTTCTGAATGTTGCAGATGGTTTAAAAGAGGATGCAAAAATTTCAAGTATGGACCATTATGAAAAATACAGCTGGTAAAGAAGTTTTTTCCTCAATTGCTGTCAAGTTAATGAGCTAGTTTATGAGCTCAGACACAAGGGTTAAGTGCAGACAGACAAAAAGCCCGAGGCTGAATTGATTCAATCTTCGCAGGTTAAGCTAAGCTGCATAGATTGAACCGATAGGCAAGCAAACAGACATTCACTTGTGATTCCAGAAAGACAGCCACATGCCTGCAGTTGCCCAGGCCAAAAACCAGGCGGCACTAGAGCATGCCTCCCTGCTGGGCTGGACCAGACAGATTGGGCTAACGCTAGCCCGCCCACCCTGTAAGTGGGGGGTGCAGGTTGTGGGGGAGGTGCAAAGCTGGAGGATTGTGAGTTAACCTGAATCAGGGGGGAGGGCGGGATCTGGGACAGAAGTTCAATAAACCAATTTAACTTAAATCTGATACTACATCCCATCCAGGTTTATCTTAAACCAGTTTCAGCCATTTTGAAAGCGGGTTATGTGCACTTGTCTTGTGTTGTGTTATAGATTTGAACTGGTTTCCAATCATTATACCAGTTTACATGTAATTTCTGTCCCTAGCCATAAGAGCTTCTATCACTTATAAAAATGCTTTATCCTAGCTATTGTGTATACTGTTGTTTTTATTATCCCTTAATTATTTCCTTCTTTTTGAATCATAAAACCATCAGATTCAATGCGTGGTGACAGTGGGTCCCACATGTCACTTCTCAGTGGTTTATAAATTTACTCTCTTTTAACAATTTCAGTCTTTCTTGTATCATGAGAAACAAACACCAGAAACACAGAATTTTAAACATAGGGTTTGGGATCTTTTCATCCTTTGTGTTGTACAATTACTATTATTATTTTCCCATGCCGTCCCACTCTGACAAATACTGAAGTATGATCCTGGTAACAAAAGAATTGCAACATCATGAGAAGACTTGGTGCAAATGGATCTGAATATACACATAATCTAGTATTCAAAAGATTTGCAAGTTTTACGGACAAAAACAGAAAAATCCACAGATTTCATTCTCAAATGGTGTTCCTACTGGGGGGACTGTGTTCTGTAGGAAGGGGGATATAAATGAGGTTGTTTCTCTCTTGTTTTTAAGCAGCAATAGTATTCTTTCTACATTATATAAAACAAACCAGAATAATCTGGAAAAGAGTATTTTCTGCCACCACTTAAGTTTTTAAAAAATAATTTTTGTAAACTAAAAGCCATTTTAGGACCCATATCCAATGAAGAAAATGCTGGATAAAACTATAAGTGCTATATAATTGCCTCTAATTCAATATTTTGTTGGATTTTAATATATTATTAGCAGCATTTTAATTATAATTGCTGCATATGAATATACCAGAGAAATTAGATACTTTATAGTAGTATTAAGGTTCTTGAAGTTAAATCATGCCAGTGCAGATGTTCCTAATTACCTTAAAAGCACAAATACTTACATAAACCAGTTGGTTCCAGCTCCAGAATAATTCAATTAAAGGAATGCTTATAATTTAGCTGCATGGATGATAGCTAAAGCTAGCTAGTTTGTGAAACTGTAAAGAAATAACAATACAGACAGTCTGAGTCAGACAAGAAGCTAGCGCTCATTTTGGCCAGCCAAGAGACTGCCATGTAATTTGCCTGAGACAGGTATAAAGAGTTACCTAAATAAGTTAATACTGTGATGCGAAATAAGATTACATTTTTCAGAAAAAAGCATTAATTAGTTTTCACTTTCTATCTGTGACAACACCTGGACAAATCCAGACTAAAGTTTCTTACCTACAACCAGCCAAAAGAGAATTAAGCTCCACCCTTACTTTATGTTAATGATACAGAGATGTAATAGAAAACATGATATAGTATATCTCATTGGACCAATATGCAAACTGAAATACACAAGATGTCAATGCACACAAGAATCCCATCAACCGATAATGGTTTTGGTAGTAAGCCTCTCATACAAAATTATCTATAACTGCTAATACATTGTATAACTCTAGTATTCATTGATTGTAAGGTCAGTGCACCGATTCATCCTCTGAATGCTCTATAGGAAAGATAAACTCCTGTTCACAAATGTTGATCAGAAATATATATTTCCCCTCTCACCCCCTTGATAAGGAATATATATATATATATATATATATATTCATTCCTTTTTACATTAGTAAATCCCTTACCCACTTATGAAAATGAGGAGTAAAAGCCTCTCTTTTACACCTGGCATTAGATTGTGTCTAATTAAATATGCATTTCTCATTTTCTGTTATTTAACCCAAGCCTCATCAGCACACTAAATAAAGCTACAAGAATAAAAAACTACTATAAATTGATTTAATCTATTTAAAGCGTGAAAATCAGCTTCATTAACTGTACCTTGTGTCACCTGTTGAATTGCCAACATCATTCCAGAAATGGCATCAGGAATCAAATTTTCCTTTAAATTGTAGTTGGTTGCCCACTCCAAAATAGGAAACCTTCTTAGGCACCACAGCTTGATATCTTCACAACGAAGAGCATGGATCTTCCAGCACACTGCACTTTTCTTTTTCCTTTTTACCCCTGTCATGCTTTAGCCCACCAAACGTTTCTCCTTCAGAAAAATTTACAGCTGCAGAATCACCCTGATCAATGTCAGTCTCCAGTTTTCTTCTGAGAGTTTAGAGTTTCAGAGCTATAGGCAAAGAGATTAACACAATCACTTAGATTTCTGCAGCTGTCTTCTTATTATATTCAATAAAAATATTTCCTAAATGTGTTTGCTTTTAGTCAAGTAAATGGTCATGTGAAATGGAGAGCCTGTTTATATAAAATCTAACATTTTCTGCTCTTTTAAAAAAATGGTCTAGTCTTATGTTAGTTTATGAATCTCCTTCCAGAAATGTTCCCCCTTATATTCACTGTAGTGCTTATGCTTTTGGACTCAGTCCAACAGTAAAATGAGGTGCTGTTGGGTGGTTTCCATGTGGGCTGGACTATGCTAATATGACCAGGAAGTGCCCAGCTACACAAGTCTGTCCCTGCCAACAACATAGAAAACAGCTTAGATTCTTCTCTGAAGAAAATGCTGCAGTCTCGTATTCAGAGGAATGCATTTGCTATGCATTATTTCCCTAGTATGCATGGAGTTACCAAACATGTTACATAAGTTTTATTGTAGTTGTTCCTTTTGTTTTCTGTAATGAGATATTTAATTAAAGCACTTGTTTTAGAAAGAACACTTGTGGTAATTAACTGCAAATTACCATAAAGTACCACTGAAAAAGAGTTGCAAAGTTCTTACAGGTCAACTGAAGTCAGAGATAACGAGCAATGGGCTGTGTAATACAATTCATAATCCCTGGCAGAACTTCAAACTATATCTTAAAAACAAAACAAAAACAAACCAGAAGACAAACAAAAACTATCCAGATTTTTCTTTTAAACTCATGATATTTTAAGTCAATCCCATATTTTGGGTTTGACTCAGAATATTCAAACTTTGAGACCAGCAATTCTGATATTGTGTACAGAAACCTAATGCCCTGGTTTTGCAAATATTTATGCACATGCTGGAAGCTGAATTAAGTAAAATTATTCAATTATGTGTACAAAGCTAAGAGCATGTTTACATGTTAGTAGGATTGGGACCCAAATGTGACCTCAATAATATCCTTAATGAATTTATAATTTCTTTTTATAATTGATACTGAGCGTATGTATCAGCATCTCTTCTGCTTGTCCAATTTCTGTTACTATTGTTAAATTGTGCTAAGCCTCCAGATTTTGCACCCATTTGGATTTTATAATATATGTCTGATCTGAGTCTTAATTTGATTAATCTTGTTTTGTTGTATGATATTCTTTCAACTGCAATGTCAGAAGGTGTCCTGGCCAAAATATTACTTGCAATTCTTTACGTGCCAATTAATGTGAGGACATGGTCAGGAAGGCTAACCGCACCTTGTCATGCATCCATAGATGCATCACGAGCAAGTCGAAGGAGGTGATCCTCCCCCTCTATGGATCCTCCCCCTCTGGTCAGACCGCAGTTGGAGTACTGTGTCCAGTTCTGGGCACCGCACTTCAGGAGGGATGTGGACAGCATTGAAAGGGTCCAAAGGGGGGCCACTCACATGGTCAGGGGGCAGCAGGGCAGGTCCTATGGTGAGAGGCTACGGGACCTGAACCTGTTCAGCCTCCACAAGAGAAGGCTGAGAGGCGATCTGGTGGCCGTCTATAAATTTACCAGGGGTACCAGCAGGGAACAGGGACTGTTCCCCCAAGCACTACCAGGAGTAACTAGGAATAACGGCCATAAATTGACTGAGAGTAGGTTCAGGCTAGACATCAGGAGGCACTACTTCACAGTCAGGGTGGCTAGGATCTGGAACCAACTTCCAAAGGAAGTGGTGCTCGCTTCTACCCTGGGGGTCTTCAAAAGGAGGCTAGATAATCACCTAGCTGGGGTCATTTGACCCCAGCAATCTTTCCTGCCCATGGCAGGGGGTCACACTTGATGATCTGCTCGGGTCCCTTCCAACCCTACCAACTATTTATGAGCCTGGGAACTAGCTGCAAAGTATGACCCAATAAAGGTTTTTAATCTTTTCACTTGCGACATTACACAAGTGCTTTGCAGGTAAATGATCAACACTAGGAGATATGCTCAGGGGCCTATTTAATTTGCAGTTTTGCAGATTTCTTGGAAACTGTAAAATCTGGGATTGTCTGCAAAATCTGAGAAATCAGAAAATCAGCAACAACAAAAAACCCTTAATAAAATGCTGGCTCCCCAGCAGCTCCCCAGTAGGACCCAGCAGTCCTCACTGCTGGGAATGGGAAGGCGCTGGCAGGCAGGGTAACATAAAGAGCAGCCAGCCATCAAGATGGCAGCTGACCCCTCATCCCTTCCCCCTCTCCTTATGGGGCTTCTCTGCCAATCAGCACCAAGGGGTGGGGCCACTGCAAAATGCCCACAAAATCAGCTCTCATGCCATGAGCAGGCTGCGAAAAACCCTTTGTGTCGCCACAATTTAGGTAGGACACTACATATGCTGTATCAGAACCCTGCATAAATGAGTTTCACTCACACAGCCACAAATGCTATATCACCTCAACGTTACAGCAACCAGTAGTAATAGTAACAAAAGAAAAAGGAGAGTGCTTCAATTAAAATCCTTATTTTATACAAAATATGCAAGGGAAAGAAAATTCAGACATTATCTGTCCTCTTTCCTACCCCATTTTCATGCCTTCCACATTTTTCAAAGAAGGTAATAAATGTACAAGAGGC